ATTAGTAGTGGAGTTCCACAGGGTTCAGTTTTAGGGCCACTTTTGTTCCTTGTATATGTAAATGACCTACCAGAGTCTGTAAATTCATTCATGAATATGTTTGCAGATGATGCAAAGATTTTGAAGAAAGTAAAAAAAGAGAACAATGGTAGAGAACTTCAGGAGGATCTAAATAATCTGCATGAGTGGTCAGAAAAGTGGCTAATGAAATTCAATACTTCATAATGTAAGGTAATGAGAATGGGTACAAGTGCAAGAAGGCCCAAGCTTGACTACTCGGTGGCTGGAGTACAACTTCAAGAGACAGAAAATGAGAGAGTCTAGGAGTAAACATACTGGCAGATTTGTCTCCAGAAATACATATAAATGGCATAGTAAGGGCAGCATATGCATTCTTATCAAATGTAAGGGTAGCCTTCAGGCACATGGACAAGGAAATGTTCAGAAATATTTATGTAACCTATGTGAGGCCAAAACTCGAATATGCAGCCCCCTTTTGGAATCCACACTTGAAAAAGCACATAGCTAAGCTTGAAAAAGTTCAAAGACATGCCACGAAACTGGTGCCAGAAATACGCAATCTCAGTTATGATGAGAGGCTGAGCGAATTAGACTTACCATCACTCGAAGCTAGAAGAGTAAGGGGGGATATGGTGACAGTCTTTAAATTCCTTCATGGTTATGATAGAGTGGATAGGGATGGATATTTTGATATGGCTGGCTCTAGAACTAGAGGTCATAGTTTGAAGCTTCGTAAGAAAACTACTTTGCAGGATGTAAGGAAATACTTTTTCAGTGTAAGAGTAGTTGATAATTGGAATTGGCTAAGCGAGGAGGTAGTTAATGCTATCTCAATCCATAGTTTTAAGGACAGGTATGATAAGTATGACTAAGTCTAAAATGGAACCGATGAGGAGACGGGAAGATACGAGCTTTGGGCTCTTTCCCGTAAACACAATTAGGTAATCACACACGCGCGCGCGCATATATATATATATATATATATATATATGATATATATATATATATATATATATATATATATATATATATATATATATATATATATATATATATATATATATATATATAAAATGCACATGATTATTGGCATTGGATGTTAAAGAGGATGAGAATAAACTTTAGATTGATTATATGGAACTCGATACCAAATGTACACACAGACAAATTCAGTGTTTACCTTTATCATTATATATATATATATATATATATATATATATATATATATATATATATATATATATATATATATATATATATATATATATATATATATATATATATATATATATATATATATATATATATATATATATATATATATATATATATATATATATATATATATATATATATATATATATAAACCAGCAGATCTTCATGGCCCTCTAATGATTCTGGCTACTCCTGCTCTTCCTCGTGAACTGCTGCTGCTGCTTGCAGTGTTCCCTCAGTGGAAATGATGTACGTCTTTTTCGTTCCAATCATATTGAAAACATCTGGAGGCACTTCATAATTAAAGCAGATTTTTCCATGTCTGTTTAGCCCTGAACGTATTACAAGAATAGCATTCATCATTTTCGTCTGCATTCTATTTCTTATCACCAACCGAATTCTTTAAGTCACTCATGAAACGAGGATACAAAACATTCTTTAATATAGCACTACACCTGGATCTCTTAATCTTTGCCATCGATGCTATTTTGCTATCAGTGAAGCATGCCTTGCATAAATCATTCAAGAGATCGCAAGTTGATACTGAAATATGTTCTGCAATAAACAGTGCCATACGCCCTTCTACAATCTGAGATTCACTTGATTTTCTCAAAGGCTGGAATGGTATTGTAAGCTGTCTTGCATTGGATGAATCGACATTTGCCCTGTGTTTTTTCGTTTTCCCTTGAGCTTTCAAAGCACATAACTCAGGCACAAGAACGCACTGACAAAGTTTACAATTAGGCACACTTTCACCACTTCCCTTCTTTTTTTCAGTTGACCAATGTTTTAATTCTTCAACATGAAGCCACTCCCTTCGAAATTTCTGTGTATATTGCGTCTTAGGCATTTTGAATATAGATTCAATATACCGGTATAGTACCAGCGATCGTCAACCTCAATCAAGAATGACTGCCTTGCGTGGGTCCGATTACACTCTACAGATCGCCCGAGTCACGACGGTGGCTGGCACGAACAAAACAAACTTGAGTAGGAATCATGAGTGATACGCGTATGGTATGTTAGTTGGTAACTTTTTAGCAACTGGTACTTGGAAATACAAGCATCAAGTATCGAAATTCTACTACAATTTGATTTTTGTGAATCGGATTGGCATAACATAATTAATGAGATGATAACATGTGTTAGGAAAAAGAAAATCCAGAAAACCGCTAAACATTTTCATAAAAAGCTAAAATTTCCCGTTAGCCGCTAAACTCATTTTCTTCCAGCTAGATTACAGTAAAAAGATCCAGATCTATCGGGAAAACCGCTAAAATGGCAACACTAGTTCTGTATATGGCGGGATCCTAGCCATAAACAGAACTGCGTCAGATGCGTCTATGAATCCATTTGTGTGTGTCTAGCTAACTAACAATATGGTATCCTAGGTTAACACTGTTTAAGATATCGGGCTCTTGTCTTATTTCTTCTTCTTTGAGAGACTCTTTTTCTCTCTTTTTTTTTTTGTTCCCGTTTTCAACACCACCTCCTTCCCTCGTCGTTATTTTCATGTATTGCCATGATGTGTTTTATAAAAGTGTGAAGGTATATGCAAATTTGAAATATGGGATCGTGTGTATTTTCCTTCTCTTCCTTATTCTTCTTCTTTAGGAGAGGTGGCTTGAGCCCTACCCATATGCTAAGTATGTAGTCAGGCTCTATGCTGTCAGTATCCCTTGCCTCTGCTTTTCATTAGCGACTTTAACCTTGAAGACCCTGTATCTCTTCTGTATACACTCCTTAGCTTCTTTATTCATCTTATTCAGGATCTTGTCTTTTTCTTCTTTTTTCCTTCAGTTCTCTCTGTTATTCGCCATCTTTTCATCCCCATCTTGAGCTCTTCCCCTACCCCCTTCTTTTCCCACCCTTCCCATACATCGAGGGGTCAATCTCCTAGATATGGGTTTGTCGTGAAGGTTGCAATGCAATTGCTGTTGATCATGCCACCCACAGTCACTTCTAGCGGAAATGATGTTAGAGACACCACCTCTCTAGGGTTAAGGTAGGGAGTTGTTACCCCCACCCCTGTTTATGGGAAGGGGTTAGGGACTAACAACATAGAGAGTAGTCAAGCAGTGCACATAGACTATACACCATAGAAAGATAATTATAGCCCTCCATAAGCCGATTTTGCCAACAGGAAACCCATTATTGTTCAGCTGTGCGAAAAATTGCATGGTAGTTGGTGAGTTATCATTAGCTGCTGTAGATATTATATTTGTTATTGATCAGTTTTCATTGGTTCTAGTTGGCCCATTCTCGTTGTCAATGCGGATGAATTTTGCCTTTTACATTCTCAACAAAACAGATATAGAATTCGTTGGTCAAGGAAAAACACGAATCAAACCGAATGATAAGTACTAATTCTCTGTGTATGTAAGTCTGTTGAATGATGTTGCAATTTGAGTATGCAAAAGAAATCAATAAAATAGTAGAGATAAAGTAGCCAAGTAAGTGAGAGCCTTGCAAAGAAAAAGTAAGTCACATTGAAAATCCAACTGATGAACAAACTGACAATAGAATATAAAAATACCAACGCTAAAAATTTCACTCACTATTGCTGACATTGCCACAACTGCTTCTCGCAGTAGTCAAAAGGGGAATGAGTAGAAGGGTAAAATAAAAAAAAAAGACTGTAGTAGGCAGAAGAGCTGATGAGACAGAGGGAGAATGAAGAAGAGAAATAAAGATTATAGTGGACTGAAGAGAAGTAGGTAAAACTTAAGAGAGAGAGAGAGAGAGAGAGAGAGAGAGAGAGAGAGAGAGAGAGAGAGAGAGAGAGAGAGAGAGAGAGAGAGAGAGAGAGAGAGAGAGAGATTTCGCGGTGCGGTCTACCCGTCACATACATTAAGCGATGAAATTATTGTTATTATTGCGATTATCATCAATGATGAAAAGTCTGATTGTTGCTATCCTTCCTCCCTTTCTCTCCAAGCCAACTGATGGTAATGATAACAAACACTCTCGGGGATTCTGCAAGAGAAGGTGCCTTTCAACACCTACTGTGATTTTAGTTTCGAGTTCAGACATACAATATAAATTGCTTTGAAAAGAAAAATAATACCCAGACTATTCTCAGTCGTAGATTCCTTGTATTTTACTTATATTTAATTTATATTTTCATTTACACAAGTATTGATATGAATATTGTGTGAAGGGATCTAAAATAATCATGTACATTCCTTTGGCCCGATTTCTTAAGCAATGTAAACCTAGGATACCATATTGTTAGTTAGCTAGACACACACAAATGGATTTCTTAAAAGCACCTGACGCGGTTCTGTGTATGGCTAGGATCCCGTACGGGATCATAGCCATACACAGAACCGCGTCAGATGCGTTTATGACATCCATTTGTGTGTGTCTAGCTAACTAACAATACTGTATCCTAGGTTTACACTGTTTAAGAAATCGGGCCAAAGACAATGAACTCATGTATAGCTGTTTGCCGGCGTTGATTGAAGAGTATGAATTTGGAATTTTATTTATATATTGTTTATTTATATACTAACGCGTATTATAACATCATTATTACATGAGGCAGTATTCACACAGATGTTTGTATCAAGCTTCGTTGTTTTACATAGAGTTACAAACCAAAGATAAATGCATTAATAGTTGTGGACAAGTTTTGCTTATTATTAATATTGTACTTGTGGTACTTGTTATAATGTGTATATAGATTTGTTTCTATTTTTTACTAATCTACTTGTTAATAGTAGTGAGAATAGTAATAAATATTTATTTTACTACTACTGGGGCCCGCGGTAGCTCAGTGGTAGAGCATGGTAATCGGGAAGCCACTAACGCAGGTTTCATCCCCCCGCGGGATATTAGGAAGGTCATCTTGCCTTAATCCTAAAACCTCAACATGCCTAAGTCCACCCCCATTCGAAAGGGGACTAATTGTGGCACATAGAACGTTGCTTATATATTTACTTGCTACTACTACTACTACTACTACTACTACTACTACTACTACTACTACTACTACTACTACTAATGATAATAATAATAATAATAATAATAATAATAATAATAATAATAATAATAATAATAATAATAATAATAATAATAACCTTCTTCTTCTCTCGCTTTTCCTATATCTATATGGGGTCGCGGTTTCTTATCAGCCTTTTCCACGCTCTCCTGTCCAATGCTTCCTCTCCACTGAGGTCCTTCTCTCTCAAGTCGTCCAGTATACAGTCACCCCATCGTCTTCGTGGTTTCCCTCTTCCTCTCACTCCCTTCACCTCTAGCTAAATCATCCTTCTACCAATCCAGTCTTCATCTCTCCTCATACAATGTCCATACCACTGAAGCCTTCTTTCTTGCATCTTCTTTCCCACTTGTGTCACCTTGGCTGTCCCTCTAATTCTCTCGTTCCTGATCCTATCCTTCCTCGTCACTCCCAACATCCATCTCACCATTCTCACCTCTGCCACTACCATCTTTCTTTCTTGTGCTTTCTTAACAGGCCACGTCTCTGAGCCATATATCATCGCTGGCCTTACTACTGCACGATATATCATGCCTTTCACTCTTGCACTAACCTTTCTATCACAAATCAGTCCAGAGCATTTCCTCCAATTTTTCCATCCTGCTTGTATCCTCCCATTTATTTCTCTATCCAGTTCACAATCCTGCAACAGATTTGACCCCAGGTACCTGAAAGCCTCCACCTTTTTCAACCTCTCCTGTGCCAAGTACAATTGACTGTAATCATCTTGTTCTCCCATCTGCATGTATTCTGTTTTGTCCCGGTTTATCTTTAGCCCTCTACTTTCCAACTCGTCCCTCCACTTGTTCAACTTCTCCTGCACTTCCTCTCTGGTCTCTGCCACCAAGACAATGTCGTCTGCAAGTAACATAGTCCATTGGGCCTCCTCCAGTACGTCCCTCACTATCGCATCCATGACCAGGTTGAAAAGGTATGGACTCAATGTCGACCCCTGATGTAGTCCAACTGTCACTGGGAACTTGTCCGTCACCCCGGCCGCTGTCCTCACTTGTGTGTATACATCCCTGTACATATCCTGGCACACCCTCACATAGTTTTCTGGCACTCCCTTCTCCCGCATGCACCTCCACAATTCCTCCCTTGGTACTCGATCATAAGCTTTTTCCAAGTCAATAAAAACCAGATGTAATCCCTTCCGTTTCTCTCTGTACTTTTCCATTAACTGTCTCAACGCAAAGATGGCATCTGTTGTACTTCTTCCTGGCATAAATATAAAATGAGCTTCTGTTATTTCCGTACATTCTCTCAATCTTTTGTCCATTACTCTCTCGTATATCTTCATATTATGGCTCATAAGCTTTATCCCTCTATACTTTTCACAGTCCTGGATGTCCCCCTTATCTTTGTAAATTGGTATCAAGGTACTTTCTCTCCATTTATTTGGCATTTTTTCACTATCAAATGCTTGGCAAATGATCTCGTACACGATCTCGACTCCCAGGTTGCCCAGTGCTTTCCAAGCCTCAACAGGTATCTCATCTGGTCCAACTGCTTTCCCGTTCTTCATTTTTCCAATTGCTTCCTTCACCTCTTGCACCCTAATATCTTCCACCTCCACCTCATTTGGCTGTCCATACTCTATAATTTGCCTTGGGTTTTCTACATTTAGCAATGTCTCAAAATAGCTCTTCCATCTCTGTTTGATATCCTGCTCTTCACACAAAACTCTTCCCTGTTCATCTTTAAATTGCTTTACATGCACCAAGTCTCTAGTAGCTTTATTCCTCTGCTTTGCTATACTGAACACTTTCTTTTGTCCATGTTTAGTGCCCAGATCTTCATAAAAATGTTGTAGACTCTCTGCTTTCGCTACTGCTACTGCTCTCTTAGCATACTTCTTCGCCACTTTATACTGTTCTTGATCTTCTGCATTTCCCGTTGCATTGTATCTTTCCTTTGCCAGCATTTTAACGTGAATCTTAGCTTGTACCTCTGGTGTCCACCACCAGTTTTCTTTATCTTGCAGTGTTTTCCTTCCTGATGTTTTCCCCAGCTCTTGTTCTCCAGCATCTCTCACAATTCAGCGTCGTCCCAGCCTCTGTCTCTCACATATGTTGTCAGTTTTTGACTTACTTCCTCCCTAAAGGCTAATTTACTTTCATCCTCCTTTATCTTGCACCATTTTGTTTTCACCATCTTTTGAACGCCTCTTCTTATCCTCCCCACTAATATAAGGTCTGTTACCACCAGCCTATGCTGTGGAGCCACACTTTCTCCCTTGATTACTTTACAATTTATGATTTAATTTTTATATTTCCTCCTACACAAGAAGAAGTCAATCTGGCTTTCTCTATTTCCACTTCTGTAGGTGAACATCTGTGCTTCTCCTTTCTTAAAGAGGGTGTTAACAATAGCCAGGTCAAATGCCATTGCAAAATCAATTATCTGTTCTCCTTCTTTATTTCTTTCTCCCATTCCCCATCCTCCATGCACTCTCTGAATGTTTGCATTGTCTTGTCCTATGTGGCCATTTAGATCACCTCCCAGCACTATCCTCTCATTTTCTGGCACTGCCCTTATAAAGCTGTCTATCTGCCTCCAGAACTCCTCCTTTTCCTCTGCTGAGCATTCTCTTTGTGGGTCGTAGGCTGATATAACACTGATTGTCATTCCGTGGTCTGCCACTTTACTTTAATAATTCTGTCATTCAATCTTAAAACTTTTACAACACTTTTTTGCCATCTCCTGTTCAGTATCACTCCTACACCATTTTTACCTCGTGCATCTGCTCCACTGTATATCAACTTATATTCTTTCCCAAGTGGCTTTGCCTTATTTCCTCTCCACTTCGTCTCTTGTATACAGCAGATCTCTACCTTCCTTCTCTCCAGCATGTCTACCAGTTCTCTTCCTCTCCCTCTCATGCTTCCTACATTTATGGATCCAATCCGCAACTTCATTGTTTGGGCTTTCTTCTTTAGCCACGCCCGTCCTTGACGCGGTAGCCCTCTCATATTTTCCACAGGAGTTGGGCGAAGCTCCTGCGAGTCGCTTTCAGGGTACGCCCTGGCCTTACTCTCTCTACAATTCTGGCTTCTTTCCATAGTTTTGGCTTTGTATTTTACTGATGGATGCCCTTCCTACCTCAAACCCTCTCCATTTATCCGGGCTTGGGACCGGCACCGAGTTTAGCTGGCTTGCTACCCCGATGGCTGGGTTCATAATAATAATAATAATAATAATAATAATAATAATAATAATAATAATAATAATAATAATAATAATAATAATAATAATAATAATAAGCTACCTTCCTTGTTGGGAATCGAACCTGTGAACTCAAGTCTAGAGCAACACAGCTTAGCACACTAGACTACCTCTGACGTTTAGTGGACTAAGCTATGCTGCTCTAGACTAGAGTTCGCAGGTTCGATTTCCTATCAGGAAGGGAGATTATATGATAACATTTAAAATGCGTGATTGCATTACATATGTTTACTACTACTACTACTACTACTACTACTACTACTACTACTACTACTAATAATAATAATAATAATAATAATAATAATAATAATAATAATAATAATAATAATAATAATAATAATAATAATAATAATAATAATAGTAATAATAGCCACTGGGGGTGCAAGTCAGCCTAACTCTGTTCCCGTCCCAAACCTGAATCAGTGTGGAGGGTTGGTATCAGGAAGGGAATTATCCGACGGTATATCTCTTTGGTAAAACCAACTCTAGCCGCCAAGAGGATAATGAGAAATAGCGAGCCCATGTGAATGTATGAAAAAGTTGCTGTAAGACAATAACACCAATATCAAAGGATGGCACACTCAATTTTTACCCATCCTCAGTTCTATTATCAGTTATTTCATCTTAAGGAAAGAAAGTATGAGGCATATTTAGTTTTCCCTTTCTTCTCAAGATCCTCTTTAGGCGCCTCCTACTGCGTGAAGAGAATATAAGGATGGAAGGGTTAATTCCTAATCCTTACCTTCTTTTGCGTGACAGAGAGTCATAAGAAATCCTTGCAATAATGGATCTTAGCTAGCCCTAAGCGTGTGTATTCACCATTCCAAGCCATTATCTATACGGTAAAAGTTTTGCCTCGACTTCCAACTCATCTTTTTTATTCTTAATATCTGCATTTTACCCAGGTCTTCATAATTTTATTTATTCGACTTTTTCTTAAAGCGGAAAGAGGTTAACAGTGATGGGGGTTAAATACCTTGAGGTTGAGAAGAGGCTTTAAAATAGATCATTGGTCTCCAACCCTATTTCTTTCTAAATATGTATTTTTAAGTGTGGAATGAAGTTAACCTGTAATTGGGGGTTGGGGGACTGGTAAGAGGTTTTTATAGAGCAGTAATTTCCAGCCTTTTCACAAACAAGAACCCCTTTTTATGTGAGTGATTTTTCAACAGACCCCAAGCGTTTGATAGGTCTCTTCCTGTACATACCTTTTATTATGTCTATTTATCTTAGAGTTCAGTATGAGATTAACCTCTACTAGGGGGTTAAACATGAAGAGGTTAAGAAGTTTTTTTTTTTTCATAAAGCAGAGTGTGCCAACCTTTTCACAACCAAAGACTTGTTTAGTTTCCCACGGACCAAAAGCTTTTGAAAGGTGCGGCTACTGAACATGCTAATTTTATTAACTAACGCCAAACTCGTTTTCTTTTTTTCATATGTCATTGGAAAGATATGTAACTAAGTATGCAATTAGGAAAATTACTGTGTTAGAATTTTATCATCATTATCATCAAATATTGTACCTCCTGCTATTGGGACTCAAACCTGGGATCTGTCGAACAGGAGTCCACAGCCTAATGCAATGAGCCACAGAGGTGTCTAAAATGAGAGAGAACTGGAGCTTTTAGTGAAATCTCTCAGATTTGCAGAGAGCTCTTCTGCGTCATTCTACTCTGAACATTTTTACCCATCTACCGACCCACCAATGACCAATGTATTTTTAATGTTCCGTCTCAGCATGGGCCTAAGTTAATCACTTGACAGACCATTGCAATGCGTTTATGCTTTTAGTTGTGTCCAAATTCTTAAATTCCTTCTGTCGGGATTCGAACCCGGGGCCTGTCGAGCAGGAATTCACAACTCATTGCGCTGAGCCACAGAATTCTTAAAGAGAGAGATCTGGAACTCTTAATGGCCCTCTGTAAATCTAAGAGACTTCAGTAGACGTTCCAGTTCTCTCTCTTTAAGAGATTTGTGGCCCAGAGGAATAAGTTATGAACTCCTGTTTTACTGTACCAGGTTCGCAACCCAACAGTAGGAGCCAAAATATATGTAAAGTTTTAAATGATTAAATGCATTGTAAATATCTTATCAATTAAGTAACCTCGGTTCACAATGAGGAAGAGAATTAAATGTGTGTGCTGGTTGGGCGGGAATCTATCTATCTATCTACCTTGGCTGTTTCCCCCTTTAACTGGGGGGTAGCCGACATCAAAGAAAGAAAACAATAAGGGGATTACTTTGCTCTCTGGGCAATGACGAGGGAGCTAGCGACTGTTCAGATGGCATTGCTGGAGTGCCACAGCCCATCCTCCCGGTTCTTCCACAACCTGTGTCGCTTCACAACTGCCAACTCCTCCTACTGCCCCTACCACAGGGCTACCTCTGTAAGATGCAGCCCCGTGGCAACAGCAGATGCCCATCAGAGCTGTGTCACAATCGCTCGTCACTCATTCCTATTCCTAGCACGCTCGCTTGCTTCCCTCACATTCATCCTCCTGTCATTCAGGGCTCTCCTTACTCCATCCATCCATCCAAACCTGGGCCTCCCTCTAGCATTTCTCCCATCAACTCTCGCATTCATCACCTTTTTCAGCAGACTTTCATCATCCATCCTTTCCACATGGCCAAACCATCTCAGAACATTCATATCTACTCTGGCTGCAATTTCTCTCCTCACACCCGTTCTTGCTCTTACCACTTCATTCCTAACCCTATCCACCCGAGATACACCAATCATTCTCCTCAGGCATTTCATCTCAAACACATTTAGCTTCCGTCTCTAACTTACTTTCATACCCCATAACTCTGATCCATACATCACAGTTGGCACAACCACTTTCTCATACAAAATTCTTAACATTCTTTTCCAACCCTTATTCTTCATCACTCCTTTCAACACACCTAACACTTTACATCCTCCATTCACTCTGTGACACACATCTGCTTCCACTCCACCATTTGCAGCTATAACCGAGCCTAAATACTTAAAATGATCAACTTCCTCAAGTGTCTCTCCATTCAACATGACATTCAATCCAGCACCATCCTCATTTCTTGTATACCTCATAACCTTACACTTTCCCACATTCACTCGCAACTTCCTTCTCTCACACACCATTCCAAATTCTGACACTAACTGACACAGTTTTTCCTCTGAATCTGCCACCACCACAATATCATTTGCAAACAGCAACTGATTCAGCTCCCACTCGTTATCATCCCCATCTACCATTCTCAAACCTCGACCACTCACTCGCTCAGTCACCTCTCTTACAACTCCATCAATATACAAATTGAGCAGCCATGGTGACATCACACAGCCCTGTCTCAGTCCCACACTCACTGGAAACCACTCACTCACTTCATTCCCTACCCTAACACAAGCTCTACTCCCTTCATACAAACTCTTCACTGCATGCAACAATTTACCAATAATTCCATATAATCTCAAAACATTCCACATTGCCTCTCTATCAACTCTATCATACGCTTTCTCCAGATCCAAAATTGCAAAATACACATCCTTACCCCTTGCTAAATATTTCTCACATAACTGCCTAACTATAAAAATCTGATCTATACAACCACTACCACTCCTAAAACCACTCTGCACTTCTGTGATCACATTTTCTGTCTTATCCCTAATCCTATTAACCAGTATCCTACCATACACTTTTCCTACCACACTCAACAAACTTATACCCCTAAAATTACTGCATTCATACATATCTCCCTTACCTTTGTATAGGGACACTATACAAGCAATCACCCATTCCACTGGCACCATTGACAACATAAAGCATATATGAAACACTCTCACTAACCATTCCAATGCAGTCACACCCCCTTCTTTTAACATCTCCGCTCTCACACCATCCATTCCAGGTGCTTTACCTGCTTTTGCATCATACAATGCCCTTTTCACCTCCTCTCTTGTAATCTCTCTCTCATTTTCATCTCCCATTACTGGCACTTGAACACCCCCCACTGCCACTAAAGCTGGCTCTCTATCTTCCTTAACATTTAGCAAGCACTCAAAATATTCTGCCCATCTTTTCCTTGCATCGTTCCCTCTTAACATCTGTCCATTCACATCTTTCACTGTCTCTTCCATCCTCGATCCACCCTTCCTTAGTCTCTTCACTTATTTCCAAAACTTCTTTTTATTTTCCTCATATGACCTACTAAAATCCTGTCCCCACCTAACATTTGCTAACCTCTTCTCTTCCTCTACCTTCCGCTTGGTTTCCACATTTTTCTCCTTATATCTTTCATACTTCTCCATATTTTTACACTGCAGCCATTCCTCAAAAGCCCTCTTTTTCTCTTCCACCTTCATTTTAACCCCTTCATTCCACCACTCGCTGCCCCTCCTTATGCC